AACCCCTTCTCTCCTGAAGCTACAAGACGCCACAAAAATCCAAGTTTACTGCCGTATTTACAGCTCGGTGACCATGTTAGCACCTCATAAAGACACGAACAACAAAGAGATCACACAAAACGTTTATTCAAATAATTCAAAAAGTGGAATAAAGTTCGGAGAACTGGATGGAGTAATATTTTAAGACTAGGATTAATACTCGCTCAGTGGCAATAAGAAACACGAACGAGGCCGAAAGTTCACAAAAAAAATGCGTATTGGCTTTTCGTGGCTCAAAGCAGGCCAGGAGGGAATCACCTCAAAAACCAACTTTAAAGGCACACCACGTCTTTTCGCAATACCATGTCACAAAAAAGTGACACGATTTGCCGTCGTGAGCAATTATCTCTCCCCGTCCACGTCACCATGTAACAAGGCACAATCACAAGGCAAGGCTGCAGAACAGTTTCATATTACCACAAACGTACTTTTCGCTAGGCAAACGCGCGCATACACACGCGTTCACATGCAGATATACAAACACACACACTGACTGACCCGAAACGTAATAGGAAAGCACGTGAAATGGCCGCCACTGAGCACTGCAGGCTGACAGCAGCAATTCACGCTGAAAAACATGAAACATGGCGGGCGAATAATAACTAGATCAAAATACACGCGCGCTAAATGTTCCAACTAAAAAGAAAAAACAAGCGCGTGCGCTGCTTTCGAGCAGGGTTAGAAATACAAAGCCCTCTAAAAATACATACGAATAATAGTAGTCAACACCGCTCTTCCCTTTTTCGCGCAATACATAAATAAATAGGAAAGCAGAGACTAATAATATCTTGCGTCGTGGTAACAGGTATAAAATGGCAAACATTCGATACGGTGTAAAAGCTTTAAAAAAGTGCTACAGTAAAAAAAAAAGAAATATAGAGATACGAGTTTTACATCTGAGCATAGCACTTCGCGTACAATCGTAGCGATCAGTGCAAAATGCATCGCTGAATTCTAAGCTTTGCAATCTTCTATTCAACTTTATTCGCTAAACTGCATATCTTTGAAACCATTCGTAACGTACAGTACTCACCTCCTCCCGATATGGAGGCGAAACTGGGGTTTCAGCTTGAATGGAGCGTCGACGCACGTAATCACGCATGCACCACAACCGGCGAACTGCGCCTTTCAATGCGACTATCAAAAAAAATTGTTTAATCACACAGCCACAGGTAACCAAAACGCAAACTAAATATATTCAAACGCGACCAAGGAAGCACGAATACTGACTTCTCATTGGGCTGCTAAAAGATCACATCTGAATATTTTAGTTTGTCTTTCATTTGCATAAAGTACATCGTTGGTCCCTTTATGGAATAAGGATAGTAATGGCAGTGAGTTTACGTTGTACCTGCACGACAACTCCGAGGCGGTCAACCACGCCAGTTGTTGAACCCTCTATTCTAACGGCTTAGGTCAAAACTAAACAACGCTGAGGTATACTGGTAGATGGGCATATTTGTTCACAAGAAGCTTTATTCACAAGAACACACAAAAACGATAAAGCAAAGCGAGCACAAACTCTGCACCCACAGGAAAGTGCAAACACAGAACGCTGCAAGCGCAACGCGAGCAAACTAAGAAAAAAGTCCAAGCAGATGAATGTCACATGGGGGGGGGGGGGACATGTCGTAGGCGGTGGCAAGCAACAACATAGGTCTGGTTTCAGCTCAAGCAGCCCTAATCTTCAGCACTTCCTCGCTGACTCGTTTGTAATGCCAGGCGTCGCCTATTAGCCGCTTGCGCCGAACGCCCAGCAACTCTGGCTGCTGCACTTGAACGCCCAAGCAAAGTGAGCACAAACTCTGCACCCACAGGAAAGTTCAAACAGAGAACGCTGTAAGCGCAACGCGAGCAAACTAATAAAAAAAAGTCCAAGCATGTCACAGGGGGGGGGGGGGCATGTCGTTGGCGGTGGCAGGCAACAACGTAGCACTGGTTTCAGCTCAAGCAGCCCTAATCTTTAGCACTTCCTCGCAGACTCGCTTGTAATGTCAGGCGTCACCTATTAGCCACTTGCGCCGAACGCAAGGTAAATCTGGCTGCTGGACTTGAACGCCCAAGCAAAGTGAGCACAAACTCTCCACCCACAGGAAAGTGCAAACACAGAACGCTGTAAGCGCAACGCAAACAAACTAAGAAAAAAAGTCCAAGCATGTCACGGGGGGGGGGGGGGAGGGGCATGTCGTAGGCGGTGGCAGGCAACAACGTAGCATTGGTTTCAGCTCAAGCAGCCCTAATCTTCAGCACTTTTTCGCAGACTCGCTTGTAATGTCAGGCGTCGCCTATTAGCCACTTGCACCGAACGCCCAGCAAATCTGGCTGCTGGACTTGAACGCCCAAGCAAAGTGAGCACAAACTCTGCACCCACAGAAAAGTGCAAATACAGAACGCTGTAAGCGCAACGCGAGCAAACTAAGAAAAAAAAGTCCAAGCATGTCACAGGGGGGGGGGGGGGGGGGGGGGGGGGGGGGGGGGGCATGTCGCAACGCGAGCAAACTAAGAAAAAAAAAGTCCAAGCATGTCACAGGGGGGGAGGGGGGGCATGTCGTAGGCGGTGGCAGGCAACAACGTAGCACTGGTTTCAGCTCAAGCAGCCCTAATCTTCAGCACTTCCTCACTGACTCGTTTGTAATATCAGGCGTCGCCTATTAGCCACTTGCGCCGAACGCCCAGCAAATCTGGCTGCTGGACTTGAACGCCCAAGCAAAGTGAGCACAAACTCTGCACCCACAGGAAAGTGCAAATACAGAACGCTGTAAGCGCAACGCGAGCAAACTAAGAAAAAAAAGTGCCAAGCATGTCACAGGGGGGGAGGGGGGGCATGTCGTAGGCGGTGGACAGGCAACAACGTAGCACTGGTTTCAGCTCAAGCAGCCCTAATCTTCAGCACTCTCTCGCAGACTCGCTTGTAATGTCAGGCGTCGCCTATTAGCCACTTGCGCCGAACGCCCAGCAACTCTGGCTGCTGCACTTGAACGCCCAAGCAAAGTGAGCACAAACTCTGCACCCACAGGAAAGTTCAAACAGAGAACGCTGTAAGCGCAACGCGAGTAAACCAAGAAAAAAATCCAAGCAGATGAATGTCATACGGGGGAACATGTCGTAGGCGGTGGCAGGCAACAACGTAGGACTGCTTTCAGCTCAAGCAGCCCTAATCTTCAGCACTTCCTCGCAGACTCGCTTGTAATGTCAGGCGTCGCCTATTAGCCACTTGCGCCGAACGCCCAGCAACTCTGGCTGCTGCACTTGAACGCCCAAGCAAAGTGAGCACAAACTCTGCACCCACAGGAAAGTGCAAATACAGAACGCTGTAAGCGCAACGCGAGCAAACTAAGAAAAAAAAAGTCCAAGCATGTCACAGGGGGGGGAGGGGGGGCATGTCGTAGGCGGTGGCAGGCAACAACGTAGCACTGGTTTCAGCTCAAGCAGCCCTAATCTTCAGCACTTCCTCGCAGACTCGCTTGTAATGTCAGGCGTCGCCTATTAGCCACTTGCGCCGAACGCCCAGCAACTCTGGCTGCTGCACTTGAACGCCCAAGCTAAAGTGAGCACAAACTCTGCACCCACAGGAAAGTGCAAATACAGAACGCTGTAAGCGCAACGCGAGCAAACTAAGAAAAAAAAGTCCAAGCATGTCACAGGGGGGGGGAGGGGGGGCATGTCGTAGGCGGTGGCAGGCAACAACGTAGGTCCTGGTTTCAGCTCAAGCAGCCCTAATCTTCAGCACTTCCTCGCAGACTCGCTTTGTAATGTCAGGCGTCGCCTATTAGCCGCTTGCGCCGAACGCCCAGCAAACTCTGGCTGCTGGACTTGAACGCCCAAGCAAAGTGAGCACAAACTCTGCACCCACAGGAAAGTGCAAATACAGAACGCTGTAAGCGCACGCGAGCAAACTAAGAAAAAAAAGTCCAAGCAGATGAATGTCACATGGGGGGGAGGGGGGGCATGTCGTAGGCGGTGGCAGGCAACAACGTAGGCCTGGTTTCAGCTCAAGCAGCCCTAATCTTCAGCACTTCCTCGCAGACTCGCTTGTAATGTCAGGCGTCGCCTATTAGCCGCTTGCGCCGAACGCCCAGCAACTCTGGCTGCTGCACTTGAACGCCCAAGCAAAGTGAGCACAAACTCTGCACCCACAGGAAAGTTCAAAACAGAGAACGCTGTAAGTGCAACGCGAGCAAACTAAGAAAAAAGTCCAAGCAGATGAATGTCACATGGGGGGGGGGGGGGACATGTCGTAGGCGGTGGCAGGCAACAACGTAGGTCTGGTTTCAGCTCAAGCAGCCCTAATCTTCAGCACTTCCTCGCAGACTCGTTTGTAATGTCAGGCGTCGCCTATTAGCCGCTTGCGCCGAACGCCCAGCAACTCTGGCTGCTGCATTGAACGCCCAAGCAAGTGAGCACAAACTCTGCACCCACAGGAAAGTTCAAACAGAGAACGCTGTAAGTGCAACGCGAGCAAACTAAGAAAAAAAGTCCAAGCAGATGAATGTCACAGGGGGGGGGGGGGGGGGGGACATGTCGTAGGCGGTGGCAGGCAACAACGTAGGTCTGGTTTCAGCTCAAGCAGCCCTAATCTTCAGCACTTCCTCGCAGACTCGTTTGTAATGTCAGGCGTCGCCTATTAGCCGCTTGCGCCGAACGCCCAGCAACTCTGGCTGCTGCATTGAACGCCCAAGCAAAGTGAGCACAAACTCTGCACCCACAGGAAAGTTCAAACAGAGAACGCTGTAAGTGCAACGCGAGCAAACTAAGAAAAAAAGTCCAAGCAGATGAATGTCACATGGGGGGGGGGGGGGGGGACATGTCGTAGGCGGTGGCAGGCAACAACGTAGGTCTGGTTTCAGCTCAAGCAGCCCTAATCTTCAGCACTTCCTCGCAGACTCGTTTGTAATGTCAGGCGTCGCCTATTAGCCGCTTGCGCCGAACGCCCAGCAACTCTGGCTGCTGCATTGAACGCCCAAGCAAAGTGAGCACAAACTCTGCACCCACAGGAAAGTTCAAACAGAGAACGCTGTAAGTGCAACGCGAGCAAACTAAGAAAAAAAGTCCAAGCAGATGAATGTCACAGGGGGGGGGGGGGACATGTCGTAGGCGGTGGCAGGCAACAACGTAGGTCTAGTTTCAGCTCAAGCAGCCCTAATCTTCAGCACTTCCTCGCAGACTCGCTTGTAATGCCAGGCGTCGCCTGTTAGCCGCTTGCGCCGAATGCCCAGCAACTCTGGCTGTTGCACTTGAACCACCTCCAGCTCGAAGGTCAGCTGTACCTTGCCCCAGTCATCTCGAACTTTTCCACGGAGAGTGTACCTGTAAAGACGAGAAAAAAAAACGAAAAGCCAGCGTCAGCACTCAAAATTTGGCCGTTACTTCTCGTAACAGTACATTGGAACAGATAAATATGAATATAGGTATAAAGCATTGAGACACGCAAAAGTATCAGCAAAATGCGTTTGAGATTTCTCGATCGGGTATAGGTGCGATATTTCAGGGTTTTTTAAATGACTGTTTCTACCGCAAAGACAGATTTGAAGATGACTAGTGGTAGCAATTAGAGTATGAACGCAAATAAAGCTAATTATTTTTCATTAAAAACAGCCATGCAACTGACACTGTGAGCAAGGTAGTCAAAAGCATTTGCCAGACAGTTTATAACCGTTTCCAGACACGCAAATATGTCGACGCTGCTTTCTTTTGCTGCGGGAAGCACTTCCGCCCACCTCACCCAGCAAAGCGAAGACACGATCACCAAGCATTTCCGTTTGCGAGTGAATGTACTTCCATTGCCATTCGATCAGATTTGGTCTCACGAACAATCGTGTAGTAAAAGCTCACGGGCGCTGGGCTGCCGGAGAGGAAAGGATTAAAGTTGTCCCAGGACATTTCACTGTTTCAGGCACTTCTGATGGGAAACAAAAATTTATTGCAAAAAAAATATTACTTTTAGGCCATTTGGCATCTTTTGAACTGAAACTAAAAAACTGAACTGAAATGGTAGATTTATTTCAAAACATATGAGGCGGTCACCTGCGATAACTACCTCATATCTTTGAACTAAATGTGCCATTTTTATTAAGTACCATTTTAAAGGTGCCGTATAGGGTAGCTGCATGCTGGTCACTTTCAGCGAAAGGCCGTAAAGCAGTCCTCCTTTCCTCACAGGAACAAAATAACGGCATGTAGCACGCATCGATCTCATTCTTGAGGGTGTGTCGAAGACCCTTCACGCACGGTGGTCACCATATGTGACCTCCAACTCCAGCGCCGAGCGCCTCTGTACTGACCGAGTACAGCTATTCATTTCTAGTCTCCCTAGTGCTAGCTACTTAAACAACATGCTATCATAAACATAATAAGGTTAGCAAATACTTTAATTTATATAAAAAATGTCTCAGAACCATCGAGTAGGTCACCTTGAGGAAGACGGCAGCCGGAATAAAGCAAACGTAACGTGTCACATTGAAGCACGAACGAAGTATATACCGTCGTCTCAGTCAGATTGTCGAAAGCTTTAGAAAATGCGCCATTTAAACCCAGCAGCGCGGGGCTCGCGTGCTTCACAAGAAAAAAAAATCTAAAAAAAGTGGCTACCAAGGGATACCATGCTGGGAACAGTTAACAAACGACTCTGAAGCGGTATCCCACCCCGTCCGGCGACCATGATGCGAGCGAGGTTGTGGCTCAAAGGTCGTTCACAGCTGCAACTAGCATTATTCACGCGACCAAGTTAGCAATTCAGTAGCAAAGCTACAGGTCGCAAATGACTGGTTTGGCCGCGAAGCGACTCTTTCGGCTCAGTCACGCACTACTCAATTTTTCAGTCGCACGACTGCCGTCGCAAATCTCTGAACCATTCACATGTAAACCGACGCGAACCACGGTGGCAGCACTCCAGTCGGATGAGCCAGCTTTACACGTTTTGCAGCCTTCCCAGTGGTGCAGCGCACGCACGAATTAATGAAAGTTAACCTGAGCCAGCCCGCTCAATCTTGGGAAAAAAGGAAAACAGCATGTGTGCATTATACAAATTCAAATCACGATGGTGGGGATGAATTTTCCCTTATCTTTCCCAGTGTCCTCTCTCTCATCTTTGTATTCCCCTTTCCGTTCGCCCAGCTTATGGTAGCTAACCGGGCATGCGCCTACATTGCTGCTCTTCCTTTCTTCCTTCCTTCGATGAAGGGGGTAAAATTTGCAGTGACACGGTGACGGTTTCAATTCGCAAGAGTGATCCCAAAAGCCAGCTGTCGAGTGTCGTGAAGGGAAGTCGCCAGCAATGATAACAGTTTACGCTGTCAGGATCCGACATCAAGGTGAATGCGGAAAAGCACTGGTATCTCTGTGCCGTACGTATTAACAATGCCGTAAACATCCTATTTCGACACGCATACGTGTCAGAACTAGATAAGTCGCAACTAACCAGATACCTCACCATGCAATTCTGCCGCTCGAACTAATATTCAAGACCGCCGCGGTGGTGTAGCGGTTATAGGATGTTCGGCTGCTGATCAGAAGGTCGGAAGTTCGATCCCGGCGGTCGCATTTCGATGGAGGCGCAATGGTAGAGATTTGTGTACTGCGCAATGCTAGAGCCCGTTAACTAGCGCGTGATGGTCCGAATTTCCGCAGCCCTCCACAACGGTATCCCTCATATGCATATCTTGATTTTGGGGCGTTAAACACCAGATAGTTCCATTCTCGTACCAACATTCCTACTACGCACTTTGACTTAAGAAAAAAAAAACGGATTCCTGATGCATTCACATAAGCACATTAAATTACATCAGCATAGTTATACACAGGAACACACACACACACAAGGAAACCGTTAGGGTCGTTTAATTCTTTCAGTGCGTGCTGTTCGCACATCGGCCAAACATCTGGTGAAACTATACTTTTGAATTCTTATAAACATGAGTGATAGAGTGAGCGTCACAAACGTGAAAGAGACACGCGGAAGTATACAACGCGACGTTCAGGCGAGCAAAAGGTTATGGCGAGATGGAGGGGAAATTAAAGCGCGGTCAAAATAAATTGAAGTCATGAGATGCAAACTCAATTACCTTCGCAAGAGAAAGCGGTAATCACGTTAGAAGCGAATGAATGCAGCCGCTGTATATGATGTCAATAGACGTGTACTTCCGTTGAGCACGATGTAAAGCCACAGCTCTATATAACATCATAGCTCATCAGGTAGACTGCGTCGATATAGGAAAAAAAAAGACGAGAAAAAAAAAACGTTACTTTGGAAGCCTAACACACTTATTTCAGCTGCCAACAACGCGAAATTTGGCAGGTGACCTTGGCACGTGACATTACGACTTAAGGCCGCACGGCGCTTCATTACACATAGTTCAACATGTAATGTTTAACAGCTTAACATTACACATAGTTTTAATTATTAACAGGCACCTTCATTTCTCCTCGAGCAACTGTGCCACCTTCGTACAAATCGTTCGTTCAGAAGCAGGTTGACGGCCAGCGATGTTTTGTTATCGCTAAATGTTAGCAAAGGCGTAACCGGAAGCCAGCAGCACAGACTCTGCATGTGTGCAACTGAATCTGATGTCTGTTCAATGGGCGAAACAAGACACAAACGAAAACGAACGCAAAAGTTGTATACACGAAGAGGCACTGATTCTGCGCCACCTTAAACGCGAAGCAAAGTAGAGGGGCCCAAACCGCAAGCAGGTGCGCGCGGGCGCCAATCCCATTTACCCGCTGGCCAGCGCCTAATCACAGCGACAGGCGGCAAGCCTCAGCTGCTCGAGCGAAATCGGGCGAGACAGGTGCGCGCACTTCTACGAACAGCTATAAAGAATAAAGAAAAACGCAGATCGCATTTAACAAAAGGCCCGCGTAATGGAGAGAACGCGTGGCCAGCAAAACAGACTCGGTTGAAAAATAAAAGAAAACATGCCTTCATCAAATTCCTCTCAAATTCAATGCGCCCAGGGATGAAGGGAGGGGGGGGGGGGGGGCTGGGAAGGCGCATTAGCGAATCGACTCCATCCAGCGGTGCGGCAGATGGAGTCGCACGCAGAAGCCACGCGCGTGCCATTATCAAGGCGACACGCTCGAAGAAATACGCCGGCGCCGAGCTCCCGAACCCCCTGAAGATCCTTGCATCGCAGGAGGCAGCCAGCCACGCGAAGATTTGCTCCAAGAGGGAAACAAGGGCTCCGCGTTATCAGCCGTTGCCACGAGAGGTTTGTTTGCAGCCGAGGTATCTCTGCTGCTGGGCTGGCATATATACGCGCTCTAAAGCGGGCCAGCTCGGTTCGCGCTGCAGATTGCCCTTCGCACGGCTCCGCGGTTTCTTGCCTATCCGATGTTTGCCCTCCCGTTAGGGCCTCCCCAGCAGCAATGTGGGCCGGAACAATCGGACCACAATCGGGAGCTCGTGCGCCCGTCATTCCTTCGCTGCTCAGCAGCGCGAAATTAGCTCCTGGGGACGTGGTGGATCGAGGAACTCGGCAAGGCTTACTCACTCGCAGCAGCCATCGATGTCCACGCTCAAGCATTCCGGTCGACTTGTTGTGCGGTAAGGCCGAAAACTGCGGCAAAACTGAACTAAAATAACAAAAAATCATAGCATATCCACGGAGTGAATGATGATGAGTCGGGCGAAGTGTCCATCCGTTCGTCTGCCTCCCTGCCTGTCTGTGTCCATCGGTGTGTCCGTCCGTCTCCCTGCCTGTCTGTGTCCATCGGTGTGTCCGTCCGTCTCCCTGCCTGTCTGTGTCCATCGGTGTGTCCGTCCGTCTCTCCCTCCCTCCCTCCCTCCGTCCGTCCGTCCGTCCGTCTGTCTGTCTGTCTGTCTGATACTGCCGATTACGCCTGACGCAGGACAAGGTTAGACTAAGAGGAGCTTCGCCCCTAAAAGGCACCACCGCGTTCTCCTCTGCACCAATCGAATTCATGTACAATCCAAACATGGGGTGCCTGCCTCAGCTCTTCGAGAATGTCTCGCACCACGACTTTCGGAGGGCAAGTTGCAAGCAGAGTTCCCGCATACCGAAGGACACAAATGCAGGTCGGCCTGCTCTCTTCACTACCCCGCCATTTCATTCACCGGGCACATCAGCACTTTCCGAAACAAGAGTGAAAAGAAGGAGAGACGCGAGCGTTAAGGACTCTGCAGTCAAACGTCGGTGTGATGATTCTCAACATACCAGAAAATAAAGGTGGACGAAGTGGCCCCGACCGTCGGATGGTCGTCCTCGTGCAATGTGTGGGGACGCAAAACAGCACGTTGTTACCGCAGAAAGAGACCGGGTGTCCGACCCCACACAGGTCATTTGCATTTT